GAGAAATTATGCTTGACTGATCTGATGCCTTCTGTGGCATCGTAACTGACTGCCTAGATGAAGGGAGACCAATGGGTATTATGTACTTTAAATTCAGCAAGGCTTTTGATGCTGTCTCCCATAACATCCTCTTGGGGAAATTCAGGAAGTGTGGGCTAGATGAGTGGACAGTGAGGTGGATTGATAGCTGGTTGTGTGACAGAACTCAGGGTTGTGATAAATAAAGCAGGGTAGAGTTGGAGGCCTGTAACCCCTGGTGTCCCCAGGGGTCAGTACTCAGTCCAGTGTAATTCAACATATTCATCAACAACCTGGAAAAGGGGACAAAGTGTTATCTGTGGGAAACTGTTACTTTTCTTCCTCATGTTAGTCCAAACAACAGTATTCTCAACAAGTTCACTGATGATACAAGACTGAGAGGGGTGGCTAACACTTCAGAGAACTGTGCTGCCATCCAGCATGACCTGGACCTAGGCAAGTGTAGGGTCCTGCACCTGGGGAGGAGGAACCCCATGCACCAATATAGGTTGTGGATGGACCTGCTGGAAAGCAGTTCTGAGGAGAAAGATCTTGGAGTCCTGATAGATAGTAAATTATCCATGAGCCAGCAATGTGCCCTTGTCACCAAGAAGGCCAGTGGAATCCAGGGTTGCATAAGGAAGAGCATGTGTGGCCAGCAGTTCGAGAGAGGTCATTCCTCCCCTCTATTCTGCCCTGGTGAGACCACATCTGGAATATTGTGTCCAGTTCTGGACTCTCCAGTTCAAGAGAGACAGGAAACTACTAGAGAGAGTCCAGCAGAGGACAACAAAGATGACTGGGGGATTGGAGCATCTCCCTTTTGAGGAAAGGCTGGGAGAGCTGGGACTCTTTAGCCTGGAGAAGAGAAGGCTGAGGGGAGACCTTATTAATGCCTATAAGTATCTAAAGGGTGGGTGCAGGGATTGTGGAGCCAGACTCTTTTCAGTAGTTCCCAGTGACAGGATGAGGCCTAATGGGCACAAGCTGGAACATAGAAGTCCCATTTAAATATGTGGAAAAACTTCTGAACAGTGATGGTGAGAGAGCACTGGAACAGTCTGCCCAGGGGGATTGTGGAGTTCCCTTCTCTGGAGATATTTAAGACCTGTCTGGATGCAGTCCAGAGGAATGTGCTCTAGGCAATCCTGCTTTGGCAGGGGAGTTGGACTAGATGATCTCTAGAATTCCCTTCCAACTCTGACAATTCTGTGATATAAGTCCCACTGGGAGACCTTTATCCTAATCAATCAAAGAGGAACACAACAAGGCCTTTTGTTTTGCTTGAGTGCGGTGTTTTCTGTCCATGTTCATCCATGGCTGTCTGTCTGTGCCTGTGCATTGGGTTTCTGTATTTATGGGGAGGTGGGGTGAGGGGTGGGAATGTGTGCTTAAACTCGCTCCTTACTGGGGCACGGTTTTGCAGCAACCTTACCTCTACTGGGATATCAGATGCTGCATCTTCTTAACACAGAATAAAAATTGTGATGAATAGGTGTGTAGTTAGTGAAAGAAAATGTCCTATTTTTTTTCCTGAAAGTGTCTTTTAAAAGAAGGCGTCTTCCTCTGGTGCTGTTATTTTGGTCATGAACCTGATAAGTTCTTCCTCTGCTACCTCTTGAGTGCAATGCCCAAAACAACCAGCTGTGCATTGCAATCACTTGAAGCAATGTCATGCATCAAAAGAGCCTGAAATATAAATAACTTTGAGTGGAGCACACAAAGTTTAAAAAGAAGAATAGGGCTTTTGAGGCATTTTGTCATCACAAAATGGAGGCTGCCGCATGGATTAATCATCCTCTGCATACTATGCAGTTTATAGCCACATAACAATAATTACAAATAGACTTTATATTCACTCCTGAGAAGTGGAGTAAGCTTTCCTTTTCTGAGGTGTTTTTATAAAGAACATTGTTCATGTGTGTGAAGGATATATAGTTCTACTGCTGTAAGAAGAAAGTAATGAGACACTAAAGATACTGAAACTGTTGTCTCTTTGTCCTGAAGAGCTGGGCTACCCACCTGGTATTTTAGCCTTAATGGCAGTTTCTTAGTTTAGTTAGATTTAAGGTGCAAAACTGTCAACATTATTGGCTTTCCTCTGTCTTTCATTCCTTTCCCAATGGGACGTGGATATACTCAGGGTAAGGAAGATCACACAGATGTCACTGAAAGCATTGCAAAAAGTGTTTTAACCACCTACAGCTTTTCTGAGCTATGAACAAATACACTTACTTCCTTTTTGACCCATGAGATAGAGAGAATGATACAGCTTCCCATAGGGAAAATTCCTTCTTAAAATGTGCAGATGTAGGTTTTATAAGCAGATCTTTACATTCAGGTAGAAAAAAAATCTTTAGAATCAGAGACTGCCCTCCATCTTCACCTAGGATCACTTTCTTTTGCTGATTGACTGGTACCTTGCTTTTGATCTGAAATATGTGCTGTTAGGTATCTCCAGACTGCAGAGAGAATAAGCTTTAGTTTGGAGGTAAACAGAGACAACAAAGATACTGTAGTTAAGGATGCAGGTTCCAAACTGCCTGATCAAATCTGGCCTGAGGGAATTTTGTCCCTGCTCACAAATGGTCTTTCATCCACTGCAGTAACTTTTCATCTTTTTAGGAGATGGTCTTATAGCACATCTGGCATTGATGTATGGACCCTTTCCATATTAAAAGATCCATTGATAAACCAGCAAAGAATGTGCAGAACTTTTTTGTTCAAGTTTGTGCGAGTGTGCGGTGTGGATCCTGCAGGCATACTGCACATGCTGGAGCTGGACATGCTCCTTTCAACAGCTGTAGAAAACTGGTGAAGCTGGTCCTTTCCACCATTCTTCCATTTGTGTGGAGTTTTTAAATACGTATGACCCAAACAAGGAGCTTTTTATGAAATACTCTAATCTTCTTGCCTATGAAACCTGGTATCCTGCTCTTCTCTGTTTCTGATGTTTCTGTTCTTTCAGATAAGCTAAATCTACCTTTGAAGTTTTAATTTCTTCTTGTGTCAAATGTACTTTAATAGGTGAACCTTGCAGCTGGGAATTAGGATACTGGTTGAAGGTGGACACAATGAGCAGTTCACATAATCATCCTTTGCCTCAGTTTCACCATTAGTAATAGAGAAACAGTAATGTCCACTCTCCTGTACACAGCTGTTTGAGCTTTGTTCTAGGTAACTAGTTTAGAAGTCATAATGTAGCATAGACCTACAGTCTGGTGTGAAGCCCTGCTTGAAGGTAGCTGTCTGAGGATGATACAAGTCCATGGGTAAGGAGTAGAGGTTTCCCTATTTCTGATCAGGAATTCATGGGCAGAAACATATCTGTATGCTGAAGGCATCAGACCAACTGTGTGGGTGCAGGGAGTCCTGCCAGTCCAACATTTGCTCAGAGTCAGAAAATCTGTGTCTTAGGCAAATCTGAGGATTTATTGCCTGTGGTCCATGCACCTGTGATCCTCAGGTGTAAAGCCTGAATTTTTCAAGAGCATTTGCACGTAATGACAGATCGACTGTTCAGCTGCAAAGTACACAAGAGACTGCAAGATGGGTGAGAAACCCATATAAGCAAAATCTCTTCTCATAGAATGCTTGTTTCATAAAAGAATCTTAGGAAGGCTGATATTTTCTGGCCTCCCTTGAGGTTTTGTGTGCCAGTAGGACCTGGAAGCTATGGAGGAAAACACTTGTAAGGGATGGGTATCTTGTAGAGGTATATTTAGCAGCGCTCCTCTAGACTGGTCAAGGAACTAGATGATGTATGTCCTGTAGGAGGACTGTAATTCCTTCTGATGGCAGATATATTTGGAGTAGAGGGAGTTAAAATACAAGCTGTTCTGAAAAGGAAAATGCTTTGTGCTGAGGTACAGCAGGCTGGCCATCGTTTCCCTTTGTAAGGGCTGGGTTTCTAAGACACATTCAATTCTGGCAACTCTTGGAAGGAGATCTGAAAGCTTTTATCTTGGTAGAATACAGTGGTTCTCTGCCTAGATAGGATGTGATCCCATAGCTAGACAAAAGCTGGAGTATTGAGTTTTGCTCTGATAGACTTCCTGGGAGCCATATATAGCTCTGTAAAAACCCAAGTAACCTGCCACAAAACTGTCCGAGAGAGAGATTGTCAAGGGACAGCACAGTTATAAAATACTCTGAAAGGCTGGATAGAGTTTTTCCCTCTCTTTTGATATTTGGAATTGAACTTTAGAGACATTTTGAACATGGCCTTTTAAAGTAACTATCTATTCTGTTCCTGCAATTTTTAGAGCTGTAAAGGAAAGCCAAAATGACAAGGAAGGGGAGCAAATTAAAAAGGGGGGAGAGGCTAAAGCGTAGGTTTTTTATCATCTTTGCAAGAAGTAAAATCAACTATGAGAGCAAAAGTCTTCAGTTGCTGCAACTGGAGACAACTTTTCATCTCCAATTCTGTTTTGCTGCTAGACAGTCAGACAAATAAAAACAGCGGGATAAATCACTGCTGGCAGAACTTAATAGTTATGCAACATCCAGTGCACCATGCGCCTATTTTTAGATTAGTTTTACACTAGCAGAATTTAGTTTATGAAATCTAAAAAGAATGTCTGGTCAGAGGCCAGGGGATAAAGAGGGTATTTAGAAAGTGCGAGATGTAAAACCACTTATTACAAAGATGCCCTAGCAAGCCCTAATTTGGCAATACTGATACCCTTTCAAAAGTGGTGGCTCGATCACACTGTTGGAATTATACGTTAGTTTGTGCTGTGCATAATTTTGTTCCCAAGGCTTTTTGTTCAGATTCAGAACAGATGATGATTGGGAAAAGTTTGACCTTTCAGCCTAAAGAGATTCAAGCAGATAAATCATACTCTACATAGCAAACTTGGGAAAACCTTTGGGATTTCTGCCACAATTTAGACAGTTTTCAATCACGCTTTGAAGTGACTTAGTGTTCTGAATGTTGCATGATCTGTATTGACCTTTTTTTCCCCAAACCTTTATTTTAGGTGCCAACCTCGATGCTATCCATGACATAACTGTGGCATATCCCCAAAACATTCCTCAGACAGAGAAGCAACTTTTGAATGGAAACTTCCCAAAAGAGATTCACTTCCATGTCCAGAGGTATCCCATAGAGACAGTGCCCACATCTAAGGAGGAGCTGCAGCTTTGGTGCCAGGAGCGTTGGGAAGAGAAAGAGGAAAGACTCCGACACTTCTATGAAGGTGGAAAATGCTTCAATGTGACAGGGCAAGGCATTATTCCACCTTGTAAGTCTGAGCTCAGGGTCCTCATGATTAAGTGCATCTCACTCCTGTATTGGACTGTGTTTCCACTGGGTATGCTTGCACTGTTGTACCAATACAGCTCTGCACGATGGTATTTTGCAGCCATGATAATCATCTTTGTTGTGCAGCAAAAGATATTTGGCGGGCTGGAACTAATTGAACTGGCTTGTCATCGGTATTTTAAAAAGCAACAGAAATTTCACGTAATGAAAATAAAAAACAGTTAGTTCTGGAGTAGAAAAAGATGTAAAAATGGGTGATTTTGAGATGTCCTGCAAAGTTTATGCAGAGGGAAGAATTTTTGCACGAGAATTGTCTTTTACTGTTGCCATTGTTAGGTATTTGCACTTGATTCTGTGAAGAGAAAGAAAAATGTTAGTTATTATTACATGTTAAAATGGTAGGTTTTATGTGATTGCAGCATTGCTCGAGAGCAGCTAGCAACTCCTACGTGCTGTAGTTAAGAATCAGAATGCTAGATTATTGAACAATCATAAGGACGTTAATAAATGTGACATGCACTGAACTTTCCTGTAGAAACCCAAACTGTCCAGCTAAGAGAGACAGATATATGATTTCTGTATATTCACATGGTTGTAAAGCAAGCACCTGATTTGGAAAGCGGGTAAGTTTAATGGTGTTTTGATGGAAGTTGGAAAAGAAGTTGTTCTATTTCTTTTTAATCTTTCAAATATTCAAACTTCTTTTCAAATATTTTTTTCATATAAGCTGTTCCAAACACTACTGCACCTACCACTACTCAGACATTCTGGCTTGATGTCACGGTTTAGGCCCACCCAGCAACAAAGAACCAGGCAGCTGCTTACTCACCCCTCCCCCAGCTGTGGGATGGGGAGGATGAAAGCCAACTAAAGTTCTTAGGTCAAGCCGGGGGGAGGGGCGTGGTTCATTCACCGGTTATGGTCATGGGCAAAACAGATTCAACCTGGGGAAAAAGTAAATGTATCACTAATCAGAGGTAAACAGGACAAAGACAAAACAAAAAAAACAGAGCTTAAATACCTCACCTGACCCTCCCCTTCTTCCCAGGCCAAAATTACTTTGTTCCTGTTTTCTCTACCTCCTTCCCCCCAGCAGCACAGGGGGACAGAGAATGGGGTTTAGAGTCAGTTGGTCACATGTTGTTTTCTGCCATTCCTTCCTCCTTGGGGTCTTGGGGTCCTTCCTTCTTATGGTCTTGGTCTGCTTTAATGAGGGATTCCTCCCATGGGTCAGAGTCCTTCACTGACCCCTCTAACTTGGAGGTGCTGTCCCTCATGAACAGACTGTTGCAGCGCAGGCTTGCCAGAGAGCCAGGGCCTGCTTCAGAAACAGTCACCTCATCTGGTGCAGGATCCTCCCTGGCTGCAGGTCCACATCTGCTCCACCTTGGTTCACCATGGTCTGGAGGGGACAGCCTGCGTTTTCACCATGGGCTGCAGGGGAACCTCTACTCAGGCACCTCCTTCCCCTTCTTCCTCTCCAATCTTGGTATCTCTGCTCCAGCATTGCTCTCATCTCCTCCTCTTCACTGCCCTGAGGTATTCTGTCAGTTGTTTCCCCTTCTTTCATATGTTAGTTGCAGAGGAATATCCATTGTCTCTGGTGGGCTTGGCCTTGGCCAGAGGCTGGGCCAGATTTTCAATCTGGGAGTTTACTGTAGCTTCTTAAAGGAGCCCCACCCCTGGGGCCCTTCCTTCATTACCAAAACGGTGCCACATTGACCCAACACACTTCCTTACTCAGAAGGATTCCTAAGCCTTGCAATTTTGTGTTGTAGTACAGAAAACAGTCCTAGCTCTGCCTCCATTATTTAATAGACCTATGCAGATAAGTTTTGATTTCTCACTGTTTCATGCTCTTTCCATCTCCATGTTGGCTGTGGGAGACTCACTTCTACTGTAGTATTGAGAGCTGAAGGATAGGGTGTCTGCTTTTTTGTTGTTTTATTTGTGTTATTTCTGATAGAGGTAAAAATATGTTTGTGTCTGAGTAGCTGGCAAATTTGTTTCAAAATGGTCTCCTTGTAGAAATTATCTTATAACAATTTTTTTTTCAGAGTACTCAAAATATCTCTTTTTTTTTGTAAAAAAAAAAAGCAGCATTTAATTTGGTTTTCACATTACTTCTTTAGACAGTTCCAGTGTCCACGGAGATAAGCAGGAAGACTGCTGGTTCTGTGAGTGTCAGCCACACCTGTTGGCGTGTATCTGATGCAATGGTTTTATCCTTAACTGGTAAGAGGTAGGTTTCAGACTTACCATAGCACAGGGAAATTGAGTTCCATCTTCCCTCTGCAGTATTTCCTTTGGTTGGCTGATGACATCATTCCTTTTCCAACCTCCTTTATGATTTTGGGGGGGTTTTTTGGAGCTCCTGCTGTAACACTTTCCCTTATTTTTACAACATTCAGAAAATCTGAAGGCTTAAACTCTGACAAGGCACTTTGAAGTGTAGTCCTTGTCATATAAAATACAAGTAATGCTCATGCATACATACTAAAAGACACAAATATTGCCAGCACTTTGAGACACTTTAGGTTAGGTTTGGTTTTCAACCTCAAAAATGTTAGAGCACTTGATCTTTGTATTGCTGCAAAGCCTTTCTCACTTACTATTTGTTGCGTATTGCATGAACATTTCTTTGAGCTAAACCAAGATGGTCTGCCTCTGTATATTGAGTAGCATTGCCATGAAATGTGGAAGTACAGAGTGCAAAATTTGCCTCGTACTGTGCTGAAGATTGCAAGAATTGGGTCAGCATGGGGGACATCTCTTTTATTCTAAATTGCAACATTAAATGTGTTGCCTAATGTGTTTGTATCAAAGGCCATTTTTTTAAAGAATCATTAGGCTCTGTTCAACTGTCCCTTGCAAGGTGATAAGTATTTTTTAATCTATGCTTACAGTAACTAATTGTTAATTGCGTAGAAAGTACTTAAAGCCATCTATTTTATTTTTTAATCTATTTTTTCTTTAAAATAAATTAAACTAGGTTTATATTTAGGGTCATGTTTCTTAATTATTTTTTTCATATTTTATTTGAGTACCTGAAGACACATACTTGGTGTTTCATTTTTGTGAATGGAAGGAAGTTCTTTCTGCACTATGAGGACTTCTTTTAGTGTATTTTGTGATGTCAGAGGCATAGTTGCAGCTTTAAGCCTAGCTAGCCTACTTTTTCTCCACCTACTACTCTGCTTTGGTGCAGTTCCCCACACATCCAAGTAACTAGCTGCAAGAACCTAAAAACCTCATTTATGGTGAAAGCAGAGACAGACTAAAGTGTTCTTCTAGTCTCTCCTGGGTCAGGGCTATACTTTCACACCAGGAGTAACCATGGCTATCCTACTCCAATAGCCTTAATATAGACTCCAGACTTTGGAGGACAGAATGTACATGTTGGTGACATAAATACCAGCTACAATTGCCTCAGTGATTCAGAGAACTTTGTCATGTCATCAAATGTACCTGAAACATCATAGTGAGTCTTGGTCATGGAGCGGTGAAAGATTTCTGGTATATTTTATGTTTGTGTGAGGTTAGAGTTGGGCTGTAAAATAAAATCACATGCAATCCATTGTTGACCCTTATAAGGGTTTTTTTTTCCCCAGCTAAGAGCCAAACTCATAACTTAATGTAATGTGGTAAACATTCTGCAAATCTGTAATTCCTTCTCCTGTCTTGTGTATTCAGGTTAAAGAGAAAGAATAATCCTCGTCAGCTGCAAATGTTGCCTTTGCAGTGCCTGAGTCCATCATGTGGGGTAGCGCATGTAAGCCAAGAATCCTCCCTGTCACAGGAAGGGTGTTGGCTTTGTGACTGATGTAAATGTTCAGATTAGGTGCATCATTTTCCAGCTCAATTGGAAATGCAAGATGGGAAAAAAATTTGAATAGAAAGGAAAAACTTTGTGTAAGGAGTTTTCTGTGAATGCTTTTTTTTCTCTAGTCAAAATTCAGCTTTTTACTCAAAAGATTCTAATATTCAGACTTTTTTGAGACTTTTGTTCTTACTCTGTTTCCCTATTCAAAGCACACTAAGATGGCAATTAGGGACATGGTTTAGTGGTGGACTTGGCAGTGTTAGGTTTACATTACAGTTGGACTTGATGATCTTAAAAGTCCTTTTCAACCTAAAATGATTCTGTAATTCTGTGCTGGGTAAATAACTTTTAGTTTCAATGCTGCTAGGTTAAAGATGCTAGTACTCCAGGAATCACACACAGCCCTGTGTCAGGGGACATGTATTGGCTCCAAGACACTTCTTACTCATTAGCATGTTTCTCATCCCTCAGCTTCTCTTGTAGTCCCAGTGGCTGCACTGCTCAGCAGTGACTGCTCCATCCATGGGATCTGCAGATCTTGCTAGGTCTTGCTACTTTGAGATCAATGACATGCTTTAAGGGTACTGCTCTTGTTTGTTCAGTCAAATGCTTCCTTACCAGGATCGGGAGGTTCTTTCTCTTTGCTCAGAACAGAAGCTTGACATCCTGCTATCCATGTGTGTCATCAAGCTTATCTGGGTAGCAGGACGTTAAATCAAGACATTTCTCTCTTGGCTTCAAAGCTTCAAGGCCTAAAGCTGGTCTGTAAGGTGTTGTCTTCATCATACAAAATGTAGTTCCTAGTTTTATGCATTACATCAGTGTTGTTTAAAATAGATCCATGTTTTTATACCTTGATTTTATGTATGTACTGTGGGAAAGGAAATGCCAGGATTCTACAAACCTACAGAAACCCTTAGTTTTCTGAGTTCACTGATTATATTAGAATGTTTTAGCCATGTACCAGTTACTCCATAGCAACAATAAAGGCCTGAAGCATCACTTGTTTAATTTTGCATTTTTCTTTTTACTGCTTGAAATATTCTATATGCACCTGTAAGGAATAAACCTTGTCTTCAATTTTATTGCTGTCTTGGGCAAACATTCAGGTGTCCCTTCAGGTGTTTGACCCATAGTTTCTGGCTGTTGGGGTGGTAGATCTCTCTTCTCCTTGTGGTAGGTTGGAAAGGGAGGGCTGGCTGTACCCTCCGTTCTAGCCTCTTCACTTAAACAAATGCAGAAATCTTTGAGCATGCAAGAGGTACAGCTTAGTGTTAGCCTTGCTCAGCTGCTTATAATTCTTAACGCTGTTGTTTAAGAATAATTTGTGGTTTGAAAGGGCATGTTAAGTATCGATACTTATATGTATCCTCTTGCCACCCGTGTAATTATTTTAAATAGA